TGATTTAACTGGGTTTTAATGTCTGCTAGATCTTCCCAGAAGGACAAGTGGATATTTCAGGGTGAGCTGTGATTCCAGCTGCTACATATTGCACATATCCAAAATGTTAATATAATAAAAATGGTATGAGCTTAAAGGGGCATTGTGGGCATACAGTGTTAAACCATTTTCAAGCAGTCCGGCCCCCAATTGATGTAGGGCTAAGGCATAGATTATGCACTTCCTTCTAGCCATACCAATTCATACCAGACATGGGTGCTGTGATAGGCTGAATGCAGTTAGTTGATACTCTCAGTCAATCACAGCTGCCCATTACTGCTCATGCTAATGCTTCCTCATTGGCCCAAGCAGCTCAGGAGGGATGGGTTGCTGGGGGCACTCTTTAAAATTGTTTGAACACTGAATGGTAGCACAGTGCCAGGGAACTCCAGACATTGTTACCTCTTCAATGAAATGAAGCTGTTTGTTAGTGTTTAAACTGTTCAAAAATGGTTGAGAACTGCAATGAAGTGGTGCCACAAGACTCAAAGCACTATAATGGACAGTGTTGGCACTATTACTATTTCATTTAAAATGTAATTAAACATTTTTATTTCTACAGACTATTTTACTACTAAATTAGAGTCAGTCATTAGTAAAAATGTTATTCATAAGATGGCCGGATGTGCTCTCTGAGAGCTCTCACACCAGCGGGCGCAAAAACAATCATCAAGATCACCTTAACCATGCCAGCAGCACAAGGAGCCCAAAAACCAATTCAGGACCTCACGGGGAACAGAACGATACCTGTCCCGCACCAAAACAAGCTCCTGTACCGGCCACGCGGCCTACATTGGAGCGGAGCCTGAGGCCTGGGGGAGGCGGCCCAAGCACGGGACCTGCTCATAAGCCTACATCAGATGCTGCCCTGCTACCCCCCTGGACGGGCGGGGGATATCCCGGTCCTCGCTGGGGACGACTACCCCGACACAGCGGCTTAAACAAGTGACCACACCTGCAAACAAACGGGACTAGAGAGGCCCAAGCAAGATAATAGCACATAACTCCCTAGCCAAACCACCTAAGCACATCCTGGAGTTCTTTGAACAACTTCGTACCAGCCTATGGTCAACGCTCCGTACAAAGGGCCGGCACTTCAAAGTAGCGATGCGAAGGGTGGCGCCGTCGAACTGCCTGACTACCCGACGCCACCTGAGCAGATGTCCACCCGGAGCCCCTAGAGCGGCCTGCAGACAGAGCCAACCTTGTAGCTCAAATTGGCGGGAAACGGCAACATGCTTCTCAGACTCCAGCACTCACACATACCTGAGTGAGACCACCAAACCTGCCCGATTCGCCTACCACTCTGCGACACCGGAATCCTCCAGCCAACGAAACATGACCCCGCGCTCCAAAACCCGAACAGACGGCCACGAAGCTCACCGGAAAGCAGCACAGCATCCTCTCAGCGAAAGACGCGGGCGGAGAGTCTCTCCAGGTCATACAGGCGACGGACCCTTGCCGCAGCACCAACCCCGCAAATGCCCAGCGCCCTCCTGTCAAGCCTCCAGAGCCGGCATCGGCTAATCACAATGGTATGCACTGGAGACGGACTATGCTCCTACAGGCCCAAAAGCGGAGACACCACATGGTCCTACTATACTGTTTATTGATACCAAAACTCACCCCAGTAATATGCACTGCTTGAAAGTTGTACAGTATATCTGTACATTATATCTTCCTGTTAACCATGCTCTCTATTTTTGTTTTGTATAGCACACTAATGAGACAAGTCTAAATGTCCGGCATTAGAAATGTTCGTTTAGCCTGCTTTATACTCACGCCGCACAGGCATATATAATAGTTAAGCGGTTGCTTACGACCTTCTGGTACCCAACGTGCATAATGGAATCACATGCCTCTTCACAGTTAAGCAGCCTGCTACTGATGCACAGCATGTTTTACCCCAAGATACCTTAACAGAACATTAATCAATTTATGCCCACAAATGTGTATAGCTTGTATTGACCCGTTAAAAAAAAAAAAGTGCAGTGTTTTCATGCTAAATTGTGAATCTTGATGGAAATATCTGCGTGCTGTTGTGGCACATAACATAAGCTTCTCAGTTTCATGCACAGAAAAATAAAGAATTTAAAAAAAATGTTATTCATTTATTTAAAAGATGACAACATAGCAGTAGCATTATATGAAGAAAAGAACTGATCACAGACAAATATAAGCAATGTGAATGCTCAGACATGTCTACAGTATTAGTGGGTATAATTACACTGATGGCAAAATACCATGTATGCCATAGGAAGATTGAACTAAAGTGATGCGTTCTGTGGTTGCAGAGAAAAACTATGTAAAAGGGTTCGGACAGACACATTCAGTGTATGGAAGATGAGCAGACTGCTTTAGGAAGAGGGTGTGATTTGTCGGTTAGCTTTTCTAAAGAAGCGCCTTAATGCTTTACTTCCACACTTTGGGGGCAGCTTGTAAGAATAAGACAGCCCTCGCTAAGGCCTGGAAGAGAGAGTTTTAAATAAAATGATTCAAAGAAAGATTTGGAATAAAATTTAGCCAGTATATTACCTATTGGGAGACTGACTTGAATCTCTTGTCTAGGTTTATTCCTGTGATACAATAGGAGAAATCTATTGGTTGGTATGTTGGGGGGGAGGAGAGGGGGGCAAGAACATTTAATTGGTTTTCATGGAAGCCATGGTGATAACTCTAACTTTCTAACTTAGATGACAGTGGGGCAACTTTCTAAATTTTAACCATCTGCACTCCACCACCCTGTGGTAGAGTAACTAAGAAATAAAATGTTTTAGAATGAAATCGAATTATTAAATCTAGTCTGTGTATTAATCATGAAGATTTAATTACAATCAATACATTTCTCAATTTGTGATAATGGGATTCTGTTCATTTGACTCCAAATCATAGGCCTGCGCACGAGGTGTCCCAGGTGTGCCCGGGGGGCACCCTAATCCACGTGGCCCGCGCAAGGATCAAGGCCGGCTGGGGAGATCACAGGATCTCCCCTGTCGATCCATACAGAGCCAGCGCTAACCGAGTGCCGGCCCTGCTGTGTGCCTCCATGGGCCAGTGGGGAGATCAAAGATCTAGCCAGCAGCTCTGCCGGGTTCCTCTCGCATGTCAACACTCCGCTCTCGCGAGAGTGAACTCTAGCCCTGCAGGCTACTCACCACTAGGACCACCAGGGATCAGTGATGGCAGCAAGGATCCCCCTCCCAGGCAAAAGGTAAGAAGGGAGGGGGGCTACTTCCTAATCTGTGCCCCCCACCCCCACACACAATCACTCCAAACAAATTCACACACACAGCACCTTCACACACAGCACCCTCTCACACACACACACTAACAGCACCCTCACAGCACACTAACAGCACCCTCTCACACACACACACACACACACACAGCACTCTTACACACACACACACACACACACACCACCCTACCAGCTCTCTCTCACACACACACAGCACCCTACCAGCACTCACTCACACACACACACACAGCACCCTCACACACATACACACAGCAGTGTATGTATGTATACGGTGTGTGTGTTTGTGCTTAAGGGTGCTCACCCTAATGCAATAGGCTGCGCACGTCTATGCTCCAAATACGTGACAAGCTAATGAACCATATGTTCAATACAAACTGTGTCATTCTTTGGGAGGCATTTATCAAAAATCTCAATCGCTGAAGATTTTTTAAAAAGTGTACAAATATAGGTAGCTTCTGACAAATATAATTTGTTGCTATGAGGAAACGACATTAAACACTGGCCAAGAAAACCTTGCATGACTAATATAAATTCTTAAGGTAAAACAGACAAAACAATGGAAACATACTCTCTATAGGAAACACCTCGACTTAAAGCTAAGTACCAGAGGACAAGAAAATAACCAAAACACTGCAATTAAAAATAGAGAAACTCATCAAAGTGCATTTAAATGTGTATAATTTTCCATTTCACTAGTTTCAGATGACTTTTTTATTATGTTCAGATAAAAATAAGTCTCTATTTTTTTATTTCATTGTTTAAAATTTAAATGCTTGATTATTTACGAAAGTAAGAATTGCCAGTAATATGAAGTGATTCAAGGTGAATTTCAAATTTAAGGTCAAATTAGCCAAACTGGAAAAAAATTTCCAAACATTTGTCCAGTTCTGCAATTTTGGCCTTAAATGTGGAATTTACTTTGAATTCACTTGAATTGCCAGCAAGTCGTCCTTTGGTGAATAAGCCTGTTTTTATTTAAAGGATCACTCTTGGCACCATAACTACAACAGCTTAATGTAGTGGTTCTGGTACAGAGACTGTCACTGGGGTCTCAGCAAGGTAAACACTGTCTTTTCTGAGAATAGGCAGAATTTAACTTGCATCCTAAGGACCTCAGCCTCTGTCACTCTGACTTCCTGTAGTGGTCCGGCGATCTTTGGTGTATAGACACCACTCCCATAGAGATGCATTGGCACAGTGAGGCTTTCGCTGTGCATGCGCAATAGTCCTCCAATGTATCCCTATGTAGTGGATTGGTTGGGACCATCATCATTGGACAGGGCATAGTGACAGAGACAGAGTGGTACCGGCAAGAGAAAGGAAAAAAATTTAATTTAAAATTCTTTGTTTTGGTTTTCGCGGAAGGAAAACATTCTAACATTAGACATACATGTTGTATTTCTGTTAGAATGTTCCTTTAACATTTAATGACACAGCCTATTTAAGCTTGATATTAGAGTTCCGCTTTAAGTTATTATTGCAATCTCGAATTACCATCAAATACTAATATCTATTGAGATGGGTTTTGTACACACTGCACCCAATATATTTATACCGTTACTACATGGTTTGACTCCATACATTAGGAGGCAACAAGGCAGTTTTAGCACCATAACCACTACAGCATACTGTAGTAGTTATGGTGCTTGCAGTATTCCTTTAATCAATGGTGATTATTAGCATAGTCCATACGTGCTTTTGCAAGTTGCACTTTGAAATTTGGCCTGCTATATACAATACCATCTCCATGTACACATATCAAGTAAACACAGCAACTATGTATTTACAACTACTGCTGCATATCTCCAAGTAAACGTAAATCCCCAAACTATCTTGCCATTTGATTCTTATATGTGAACAGATAGGCATGCATGTCATAAGTGTATGCCCTCATACATTTTTTGGCGACTTAAAGGCTCCCTTGGATCACCAAAATCACTTCAGGTCAATGAAGTGGTTATGGTTCCTGGAGTCCCACAGCAAGTGTTAAATTGTTTTTGAATAGTTTAAAGGACCACTCTAGGCACCCAGAACACTTCAGCTTAATGAAGTGGTCTGGGTGCCAGGTCCAGCTAGGATTAACCCTTTTTTTTATAAACATAGCAGTTTCCGAGAAACTGCTATGTTTATATTAGGGTTAATCCAGCCTCTAAAGCCTCTAGTGGCTGTCTCATTGACAGCTGCTAGAGGCGCTTGCATGCTTCTCACTGTGAAAATCATAGGAAAGCATTGTAACTGCTTTCCTATGAGACTGGCTGAATGCGCGCGCAGCTCCTGCCGCGCATGCGCATTCAGCCGAAGAGGAGGATCAGAGGCAGAGAGGAGGAGGAGAGCTCCCTGCCCGGCGCTGGAAAAAAGGTAAGATTTAAACCTTTCCTCTCCCCAGAGCCCGGCGGGTGGGGGCACCCTCAGGGCACTATAGTGCCAGGAAAATGAGTATGTTTTCCTGACACTATAGTGGTCCTTTAATATTCAAGTGGACCCCCAGGAGATGGTTCATTTTCCACTCTTTTGTTGCTCAGAAATTGCAAAAGCAATCGCTTAAAGGATCACTAGAGGGTCAGGAACACATACATGTATTCCTGACCCTATAGTGAAAACCCACCATTTAGGTGGCTTGCCCTCCCTTACCCCACTCAGAATGGGTTAAAAAACTCACCTTAATTTCAGCTCTCCACGGGTCCACTGGCGCTGGCCTCGCCCCCTTGTTGACATCAAAATTGTTGATTTTTGGCCAATCCAATGCTTTCCCATGTCGAAAGCATTGGATTGGCTAAAATCGGCAATGGGGTGGGGCCAAACGCTGTTTGCACCTCTTGATCTTGAATCAATGCATCTCTATGAAGAAAATTCAGCGTCTCCATGCAGAGCGTGGAGACACTGAACGGCAGGGCTTACTGTGCAGCATTGAGCCAGGAAGCCCCTCCAGTGGCCATCTGAGGAGTAGCCACTTGGAGGTGTCACAAGGGGCAATGTGAACCCTGTCTTTTTTTTTTTTTTTTGAAAAGGCAGTGTTTGCATTAAAATGCCTGAACGGAGCTATTTTACTCACCAGAACAACTACATTAAACTGTAGTTGTTCTGGTGACTATAGTGTCCCTTTAAGCTGCAGTGATGGTTTGAAAGTATCAAACAAGGCTTGGAGATGGTGCCCCACTTGCCTTATCCAAAGGCCAACCTAGTTGCCTATAGCATTTGATTTGTTTGAAGGATAACAAGAAGTACAGCGTAACCATAAATACAACATTTTGGGAAATCTGTGTCGTTAATATTGCCATAAACATTCCTCCATTTTAAAACAAACCATGCTGGCTTTTTAGCATTCTGTTCTTGTTCATTCTAACAAAGTTTGAAAAGAAGCAAAACAAACTATGAATTAATATAAAATAAGCCATTGTTGATTTGTAACAACTTGTGTTTCTGGATTCCAGTGTCATTTTACAGAAGTTAGCCTGGAGCATCCGCAGCATATTTTGGCATCTGTGATCTCTCCCTTGAAATTTGAACTTTGTTTACAAAGCTGATTTTATAATTGTAACCCATTCACATACCTCTTCACATACATCCCAAGTGTCCCTATTTAGGAGAAAAGTCCCTATGTTGTGCCTAAATCCCTATGTCCTTATTTTCTATCCTAATGTTCCTAATTTCTAAGAGCTCCATATTGTTGGTGAGTGTAACAGAGCTCGATAGCAATAATACTCCCAGTAACTAAAATTAAAGTGTCCCTCTTTGCAGTGGCGTACTAAGGGGGGGCGGCGGGGGCGCTCCGCCCCGGATACCACTCACTAAGGGGGTACCCGGGGCGCACTTTCACAGGGGCGGCATTTCGCCAGCCCTGTGTCTTATGTAAAGAGACCGGTGTGCCGTGTTGGAGTATCCACGAGTTTTTCATCCAGCAGCAGTAGGTCCTCTGATCTCGCGACAACGCTCTCGCGGATCGCGCGAACAGAGGACCCTGCTGCTACTGCTGCTGGATGGGAAACGAGCGTGGAGAGTTCTAGGCCCCTCTTCAGTGCCCAGTGATGCTGTGCCACCGGACCACCAGTCGAGGAGGACGGGACGGGCAGGTAAGTGGCAGCACTTATTCCACACAACATACACACTGCATCTGCACACACACTGCATACATACACTGCACACACTATACATACACTATACACACACTGCATACACACACACTGTATACACACACTGCATCTGCACACACTGCATACACTATACACACACTGCATACACTATACACACACTGCATACACTATACACCTTCAAGATTTCTCAAGGCCTGCACCGTTCCTGTGGAACTCGCTTCCCTCCTCCATTAGATGCTTACCCAGTCTCCACTCCTTCAAAAAATCGTTAAAAACCCACTTCTTCATAAAAGCGTATCAATTAAACTGTTAATAGCTCCTAACTGATTCCTCTTCTGCAACTGTCACTAGTCTAATACTATCCTTACCTTTTTGTGTCATTTTACCCCACTCCCTCTAGCATGTAAGCTCATTGAGCAGGGCCCTCAACCCCTCTGTTCCTGTGTGTCCAACTTGTCTGGTTACAACTACATGTCTGTTCGTTCACCCATTGTAAAGCGCTGCGGAATTTGACGGCACTCTATAAATATCATAATAATAATAATAATAATAAACACTGCATACACACACACACTGCACACACTATACACACACTGCATACACACACACTGTATACACATTGCATCTGCACACACTATACACACACTGCATACACACACTATACACACACTGTATACACACACTATACACACACTGCATACACACACTGCATACACGCACACTGCATACACTATACACACACTATACACACACTGCATACACACTTCATACACACACTTCATACACTATACACACACTGCATACACACTTCATACACTATACACACTGCATATACTATACACACACTGCATACACTATACACACACTGCATATACACACACTGCATACATTAAATACACACTGCATTCACTATACAAGCGCACACACTGCATCCACTACGCAAACACACACTTATACATGTGTATCTGTATGTCTGTGTATCTGTTTGTGTGTCTGTGTTTGTTTCGGTGTTCAGTAAATGATACGCCCCTGCCTCTTTGTCTATTTGAAATGTAGGCAATCACAAAATGTACTTTGTCTTTATAACATGCGCAAGTACCTGCCTAACCTTTATCTAAAGTTAAAGTTAGAGGGAAATATCAGCATGGGATTGTGTTCCAGTTGAGGCAGGTCATGTTATTGGCCAGCAGTTTCCAAATCACAAGACATAAAAAATACAATTTCTTGATACCTAGGGACAGATGTTGACTATTTACTCAAAATTATTTTTGCATCAGTATTTAAGGGAGACCATCAGGTGGAACCTAAGCTAACTGTGCAAATAGCTTCAAATATTGATAGAATATGCTGCACGCAGAAAATAGGTAGGAGAAGTATCTGCACAGGTCCGGAGGTCTACTCAGTAAGGAAGCCACAACCCCCAACAGTTTCAAGTAGTTAAATATTAGGATCATTGGACTTGTTGCATATTATCTTGGGTTAAGCTTTTTTCATGCATTTATAATAAATGCGCTTTTAACACACATGCTAAATAGGCATTATTAAAGCGGCACTGTCATGCCGAATCCTGGTTTTTTTTTTAACCCCCCTCCGGCCTCCACTATCTCTAACTGACACCCTAGTCACCCCCAAATGCCCCTAAGCCCCCCACATTACCTATTTTTTATTCCTTATTTTCTGCCACGATCTTTATTCAGGGCGCCGCCATCTTTGTGTGGGTAGATGAAGTCCCTGTGGGACACGTCATCTGCCCACACTAGATAGACTGTGAGATTCCCGCACATGCCCAGTGAAACATCTGGACATGCGAACGGGAATTTCATCTATTCATTCATTCATCAGACAGACGAATGAATGAATAGAAAAATCAGACGAACAAACAAACACTGAGTATCAGTGTTCATTTGTTTGTTCAGTTTATTACAAGGAGGGAGCTACCAGCACGCAGCTCCCTCCTTGTAATATATAAAGATAGAAGCGGCAGGGAGCAGTGTTCCCCACCACTTCATAAGCCCCCCAGGATCCCCCCTCACTCTATGGGCGGCGAGTGGGGGCCTTAAAGATAATGAGGGGGGGACCTACTGTTCTCCCCCCCCGGCCCCCACCCCTGGGCGGCGGGTGGGGGCTCTAAGTCAATTCCCCCCCCCAAGGTGACTAGGGATCCCCAAGCCCCTAGTCACCCACCCCCCACCCAAATAAAAAGTCCCTACCTACCCCCTTCACCCTAAAAAATAGTGAGGGGGAATAAAATAACTAACCTGTAAAATAAAATTAAACTTACCATTCGACGTCTTCTTTTTTCTCAATTTTTCATTTTTCAGCCCCAAAAAAGGCCAAATAAAAACCATCATAACAGTTGAACTTAAAATAAAATAAAAATCCCGAGCGCAAAAAAAAAAACCCAACGAAAAAGAAAAAACCCGAGTGCAAAAAAATCTTCACCCATGGAGGGCTCCGCGCAGACTGAGCTCCGCAGGGCGGGGCAAGGCTTTATAAGCCTTCTCCCAACCTGCGGAGCTCAGTCTGCGCGGAGCTCTCCATGGGTGAAGAGGGATTATTTTTTTGCGCTCGGGTTTTTTCTTTTTCGCTCTGGATTTGTATTTTATTTTAAGTTCGACGGTTATGATGGTTTTTTATTTGGCCTTTTTTGGGGCTGAAAAATGAAGATTTGAGAAAAAATGTCGAATGGTAAGTTTAATTTTACTTTACAGGTTAGTTATTTTATTCCCCCCTCACTATTTTTTAGGGTGAGGGGGGTAGGTAGGGACTTTTTGTTGGGGTGGGGGGCAGTGGCGGATCCAGGGGGGGGCAACGGGGCAATTGCCCCCCCCGAGAAATCCGCCAGTCTCCCTCTCCCTTGCCAGCCCTGCAATGTGCCTGCGGACCGGGGGAAGATCACAGATCCTCCCTCCCCGGTCCGCAGGCACAGTGCTGGCGGCCGGCAGGGGAGGGAGGGAGGGAGAGGGAGGAGAGAGGACCCAGGTTACCACGGCAACGCTCCAAATCTCGCCAGAGTGAACTTTAGCCCGGGAGCGCGGGCTAGAGTTCACTGTCCCCACTGGGACCCGCAGGGAATCACCACTGGGACCACCAGGGAACGAAATATGTCCCCCCTCCTCCTCAATAAAGGTAAGAAGGGAGGGGGGGGACATAGAATATTTATTTATTTATTTTAATTAAATAAATAAATATTATTTTTAAAAAAAGAAGCCCCCTTACCTTTATCACACACTCTATACACATACACCCCCATACACACATACTGCCCCCCATACACACACTGCCCCCCATACTGCCCCCCATACACACACACTGCCCCCATACACACACATTGCCCACACTCACATATACACTGCAATACTCACACACACTCTGGAACTGTTACACACACATACTGTCCCACACATACACTGCATCCCTGACATACACTGCCGCCCTCACTCACATACTACAACCTTCACCCACACACACACACTGCTCACACACTGTCCCCCTCTCACACACACACACACACACATACACACTGCACCCCTTACACATTGCACCACTCACACACACCACTGCTCATATGCCCTAACACAGCCCCATTTCCCAGCAGACCTCAGGTAAGTTGTCAAACTGTTCTTAAACGGTTTGACTACTTACTCTGGGAGGCGGTCCCGGCACTGTTGACACCATAACCACTACACTGAGCTGTAGTGGTTATTGTGTCTGGATTATTTCTTTAAATAATCTACAAGTGCCCCTCCCGAGATCAGGCTCTGGATCCGCCACTGGTGGGGGGGTGGGTGACTAGGGGCTTTGGGAGTTGTAGCTCTAGCAGCCGAGGAATTAATCTGTGTATGTGCAGAGTTTCAAAACAAAACACTGCAAATACAGACTTCAGGCACCATGACCACTTCAAATCACTGAAGTGGTCATGGTACTTGAATTAACCCTTTCATGACGCACTTATCTTAGAACCTCAACACCATCATTGTGTTTATATACTTACTGACTTCTTTATAATATACTTACTGACTTCTTTATAATATACTTACGGACTTCTTTATATACTTACTGACTTTATATACTTACTGACTTCACTTTGAATTCTCCCTTTAATAAATAACCCTGTTAATGTTGTGCCCCATCTTAAAATGCACAGGGTTAGGCCATAACATACCAAGCTGTATTAAAATAATATATGTGTGTGTGTTGCTATCACGTGATTTACCATAAAGATGCAAATAGATATGTCAAAGTAACAGCAAAACACATTGCATTAATCTATAATAATTTTGCTACATTGTCACATTTCAGCAGCATTTCTAAGTCTTGTGCAATTACACTTTTCTCTGGCGAGACAAAAAAAAAAAAAACTAGATCGAAATACCCACATTCTAAATTTAGACATTGTTTTAAACAAAAAAGAGGAGACAAGATAAAAAATGTAACAGAGCAAATTCGACTTCAAATAATCAATAAACACAGTATGATCACAATATTAATGGTCATTATGGGGTGGAATTAAAGACATCATAAGAAGTGTGTGCAGTATTTTTTTCCTCGCACTTTTTGCTATAAAACACAACTAACTCACCCTCAAATAAGTAACTTTTATTACTGCGATATAAATGCAAAAGCATTTGAACTATGACATATTGCAGAAGAAAGGTACAGCACAGTCCTCTACAAGGTATGTGTTGGAACTTTTAGAACATTTTTTGTATAATCATTTAAATTATTCCATATTTTTAGATACACTTTTTTTAAAAATTTAATATTTTGCCAAATATTTTTTATATTATTCGTATATTTTGTAAAGTGTATCCAAAAATATTAAAGGACTACTACAGCATTAGAAATACAAACGTGTGTTCCTCATGCTGTAGCGTCCCTGTCCCTATCTAGTTAGGCCGCCACTCACCTGTTACAAAGGAAATTCATTTCAAAAATGATTTTACTCACCTTTGTCTTTGCGCAGGAACAAGACTATCTTGGCACTTCCTAGTACTTAATACAGTCCAATGCTCTCTCAGAGGAGCATTAGGAACCTGATGCACATGTGCTGCAAGCATCGCACCTGCATCCAGGATTTCCAGTAGGAAAGGATGGACTTCAGTGCTTTCCTATGAGCTTTTGCTTTAGGTGATACAGTCAGTTGTACTAGTACTGCTGAATCCCTAGATAAACCGTCACTCGCAAAGCATGGGTGTAGGGCAGACCACCACCCACATTGGAGCTAAAGGGACACCACAGAGGAACTTTCCAATGTAGAGGGAGCAAAAAGCCAAGTTCTGTGTACCCAGTGTCATAGTGTAACACTGTTATCTATATGAATAATTGGCACGAATAGTCTGTATTAATCTTTGAACTATTCATTGGAGAATTGGTTTATAGAGGAAAAAATGCTTTAAGATGTAACAAATTGTATCATATGGAACACAACCAGTTCTGTAAGATTTAAAAATATGCTATATTCTTTGTACTTAACTTCTTTCTGTACCTTATATAAACTAAATACACCGCTAAAGTAAAAAATGTATCACAACAATAATCTGTTCTATTGAACTATGTTGAAGAACAGCTTCTTCATGAGGAATGCTTTGAAGACAACCTTTTATCTACTTTGTGAACTTAGATGACCAAATGTCCAAAGCTGATTGACTCCAAAAGAATCCTCATTTGCCAAATGACCAGCCTGAGGAAAATGGCCCGGGGTTTAGTAAGGTGACCCAGCATATATGTTATTCGTAAGAGTCAGTTTGCCAGAGTTGACAGTCAAATCTCAAAATGCTGTAGGTCTTTTTGTTTGAGTTCCTCTGGTATCAAAGAGAACGAAGGCAACTGAAGGTGGTACCCATGCTACCAGAGCTGAAAGATAATTGTTCCCATCTCTATTAAAAAAAAAAAAAAAAACTAAAGCACTCCTTCCTTACTAATGGGTTAAAGGGTCCCCCTCCCCATCCCTACAGATTGCAGGCCCTCATAGTAGTACAGTAGCCCTATTATCTTAAGGACAACCAGTATGTTGGGTGAAAACAACAATAACCAATACGTTGAGGGAAATATAATAAACTAGGTAAATAATCTGACTTGCATAATGTAGAGGCTGAAATATAAATGAGCTGCAATTAACCAACTCGATCTCACATCTAGTAAGAACCCTTCTCTCCTAATTCCTGCAACAGTTCTAAGTAACTTTTAATCTTTAACAACATACAAACAAAACAAGCAACCAATCAAAATAAAGCATTCAGATGCTAACTCGTAGCTAATATTGAAATACCGTAGAGAGTTCTAATCACAAGAGCCAAGTACGCTGGCATTAATAAATAACCTTTTTTTTTTTAAAGAGATTTTTTTAATTTACCAGCTTTTCTTTATGACCGATGCATGCGTTTACATCAAAGACCTACAACATCTATGCAATGTTTATTTTTAATGTCTCACAAAAAAAAAAAAAAAGTTAAACACCTTGCCATACAGAACACATGCGCCTGGGAAATCAAATATTATTAAGTATCAACAGGCGTGTCATATTACCAGTATTGGAAGGGGGGGCTTTTTGGTCGAACATAGATTTAAAAAGTATATAAACAATATAATAAACATATCCATACGTTATTGTGCATGAATTTAACTTGCTCGGCCTAAACATGCAGTAACAAGACTGAGAACGTCAGATTTTATAGATGACTAATATCAAATAAATCTGCAGAAATCTGAATAGAATTACAAAACACATGAAATAAAAAAAACTAACTCTTAGTGACCATGTATTTTGTTGCATTTGCTCAAGGTAACATTTTCTCCTGCACTCGTAAAAAGGACACTCTGGGCACTATAACAACTTCACCTTATTGAGGTTTTTGTAGGGCCTGCAATTTCCAGGATGACGCAACCAGAGGAGACCCAACGTTGGCGAAAAGGTGAGTAATTCATTTTTCTTGTGTGTGCAGATGAGGTGTGGGGGTGGGGGGGGGGCAAAATGTTCAGGGGCACTAGGACTGTAGAGTCAATAATGTCTGGATGACAACTGCCCAAGGATGGACATGTAGGGGTGAGCAAAACATAGCAATACTGTTAAATGGAAGTGGGTAGCTTACAAACAAACAAACAAACACATACTTTATAATTACATTAAATCAAGTGTCCAATGCATTTTATGTGTGCGAGTCTTGCAAGTATAAATGGAGGGGAGCCTAGCTTATGAGTTCAATGCAAGCGTAGGATGTATAATTTATTAAAGTTAATTTATACCTTCTTCTACGTTTATAATCCCCCAAATCCCTCATTTTATTAACCTGTATATTCCCCTATTCCTTCTTTCTTACACTGTCTATATATGATCCGATGATACACCTATTATATTTTTATTATCCTTCGAATTCTCGCTATTCAAGTGTTATAAATGTTTATAAAATTTTTTTAGCAACACCATTTCCTTAGTTATAATGACATCTGCAGCCTGCATATTATCTCTGATAATTGTTTTGTTTATATGCATTTCTGCTACATCAGAGAAATTATACGGTTTCTACTTGTTGAGGAATGCTGGTTCTATAAAATATTTGGGAATTATAAAATAACAAAATTAGCAATAAGAAGAGAAGTGATAAACAAGGGAAACAGCCGAGCATTGTTCTTAAATATTTTAGGGGAAAAAACTCACCAATCTTTTGACAGTGAATTATGACTCAACCAAACCTGTTCCCACAGGAACTAAAGACAGATATGGATTTAATGCCAGGTTTAGATGTGTGATGTCCTTTAGGTGGTACGTCTCATCTCACACCGCACGTAAAACCTATAGAACCCCAAAGATCCACAAGATTTCCACCGTCTTCGAAAAATAAACTCTTCTCTTAGCAAAATCTAACTTCCAGCAACTGTGCCTGGTTACCTCACTGAACTGTGCTCTCGTTTAGAAAGCTGTCAAACGTATTTGTCAGTTTACTTTCTGTTTTTAATCCTACCAAGAGCTGGTAAGTCTTACAGTCCTCTCGCTGAGCCAATAGGTATTTAGGGGTGGAGTGAAAGTTTTCAGACTGAATACATCCCAGCAAAATAAAAAGAAGGAAAACAAAAAATCTCTATACCAGGATTGACTGCAGGAATTGTGAATCACGAGAGAACTGCAGGACAAAACAAGCAAAACACAAAAGTCTTAAACAGAACACTTACAGAACTGTTTAACATTGTATCTTGCAAACATACAATTTAAAGTTTTGCTACTGCAATAGAATTATAGTCGGCTACACAGAGTAAGGAAAGTCACCATAGAAGGGCTGACAAGGGGGGAGGTCGGGCAATTGCCCCCCCAGGCCACTAGCATAGGACAGTAGTAAGAGGGGAGGGCGGGGGGCTGCAGCTTCGAACCATTTCTCAGAAAATTATAAAAGCTGGAGGGTTGTTGGTGTGTCTGTCTGTCAACACAGTTCTGCAGGAGTGAGGCAGCAGCCAGGGGGAGTGCAAGCTTGCTAGCCTAGTACTAGGATTTGTGCATGAACTGGTGGCCAGGCCAGGACTGGCCCCTGGGATATTTCCTGGAGGACTGCAGTATATGAGACGGAGCAGGCTGCCGGGTCACGATGAGCATGAGATAAAAACACTAATAATGACATTTATGATATACTTCACTTGTCATACGTTGCAATTGAGTCAATGGGAAGTAAAGACAGTGTCGGGCAAGCACGGCCTCTTTGATTGCTCGTTCATACTATGCAGATTGGGTTTTGTGAGCTTCACCTGGCTCAAAATCAGGGAATTTATACTTCATAGCACTTTGAAGGCAGATGCCTCCTAACCTCTTGCTCCTAACCATAAATACCCCTATACTTAACCCTCTAATAACAAATCACTCAAAGAATAACCAAGACTTAAAATCTTTCCAAGCCTAATAGTCTATCCCAAACTGCTCCACCCTGCATGCTGACAGGCACTTGTCCTCTAGGGGGCGCCTGTTTTTAATATTTAGAATGTGCATTTTTGGAGTTTAACCTCTTAAGGACACATGCCATTTGTGACATGTCATCATTCCCTTTTATTCCAGAAGTTTGGTCCTTAAGGGGTTAAAGGAACTCTAGAGGCATTATAACGAAGATGAGAAGTAGTAGAGGCAGGGAGCGATGCCAGGTGGAGCCAAAGTAGGAATCAAATCGTTCTAAAACAGTTTGACTACTTACAATGGGGGTGCGAGGAGGTGTAGCCATCCTACATGGTTATTGAGTATTCCATATATTCGTATAACTGCAATATAATTGTTGCTTCAACTTATTCATAACATTTAATATGCACATTTTTAAAGGAATAGTTTTACCTGCAGACACTAAAACACCTGCAATATGTTTTTATATTGGAGTTTATCACACCCAGAAAGAAAAACATTGAGCCCAATCACCATGGAAACCAAAAGAACGTATGTCGGCACTTAGCTCCCAGGATACCACCTATTTTGCTTTAATAAGTCTCTTCCAACGAACATTCTAAGTTTGAAAATATACTTAAAGGAACACTCCTGTCACTACAACAACGTAACTGAAATTAAGATGATATGGTTCCAGGAGGCCCCAGGCGCTTTCTCACCTAAATGGGTTAAACTGTTTATTTATTTACAAAAATAAATGTAAAAAAGTTACGTACTTAACAGTAGCTAGCTCACCATTCATAAAAATCATGTATACTTTTTAAATGAACGGGGACCTACTGATTGGCTTTGAGTGTCAGCTGACTGCTCTAGCCAATCAGCGGCACGCCGCACTTCTTGAAGCTTAATTACAGAAGCTGGATGCCGCTGGGGGAACTGGAGATCCGGCGCAGGAAAGAACCCTTGGGGTTAAATCGTTCGCGAATGGTTTAACCCTTCAGGTAAGAAAAAGCTCGGGGGCCTCCTGGCAGCATGACAACTTAATTGCAATTAAATTCATTGGATGAATGGAGTGTTCTTTTAATTAACATCACTAAACTATTTTTTGAAAGTTTTTTTTTTTTTTTTTTTACATTCTGAACACGACTTAAGTCATGGTTTTCTGTTTAAAATAGCGTTTTCTTCTATAAATATACTATGCTTTATAATCATTGCAGATATTTAAAGCTTTAAAATATTTTTCAAGAGATGCCTGTGTTTTGTATTATATGAGTGTTTTAAAGGGACAGTCCAGGGTTAAAGGGACACTATAGTCACCAGAACAACTACAGCTTATTGAATTTGTTCTAGTGAGTAGAATCATTACCTTCAGGCTTTTTGCTGTAAACACTGTCTTTTCATAGAAAATGCAGTGTTTACATTACAGCCTAGTGATAACTTCACTGGCCACTCCTCAGATGGCTGTTAGAGATCCTTCCTGGGTCATGGCTGCCTAAAATGCATCCAAACATTCAGTATCTCCTCCCTCTGCATGCAGACACTGAACTTTCCTCATAGAGATTCATTGATTCAATTCATCTCTATGAGGAGATGCTGATTGGCCAGGGCTGTGTTTGAATTGTGCTGGCTCTGCCCCTGATCTGCCTCTTTGTCAGTCTCAACCAATCCTATGGGGAAGCATTGTGATTGGATCAGGCTACCACTTCTGATGATGTCAGCAGACTGCTTGTTTTTTCTGAGACAAACAGCACGCAGATGTACAGCTTCAAGCTTGAATACAGTAAGATTTTGCTATATTTATGGAGACATGAGGGGCCAGGGGGGCTAGATGGTGGTTTCAACACTACAGGGTCAGGATTACATGTTTGTGTTCCTGACCCTATATTGATCCTTTAACTAACCCTTTCTGAATGAATTATGTAACAAGTTTTGAAAGGATTTGTTTTCCAGACAATAACGTATGACATCACTCATTTTCAAGTCACATGCCTACACTTTACCTACATTCTTATTTTTGCGACTATGTCTCTAAAGCACAGATCTGGTCTACAACTCCTAGAATTCTTTGAATGCAATAGATGGCCAGAGAATCATGGGAATTGAAGTTGAAGGCTTGCATTTCCTTAAAGAAACACTATAGGATCAGCAACGAAACATGTATTCCTTATGCTATAGTGTTAAAAACACAATCTTGTCCCCCTGCCCCCACCTTCACCCCTTGACTCCCTAAATATAGTAACATTTTATTTTTTCCAGTCAACTGCCTCTGCTGCTGATCTGCCTGCTTGGCTGACATCATCAGAAGTTATGATCTGAGCCAATCACAATGCTTTTTCCATAGGAAAGCATTGGATTGGCTGAGCTTGTCAAGGAGGGGCAGAGCCAACACAAGCCAAATACAGGCTTGATCAATCAGCTTCTCCTTATAGAGATGAATTGAATCAATGTATTTCTATGAGGAAAGTTCAGTGTCTTCATGCAGAGGGTGGAGACACTGAATGGCAGTCACACTGTGCAGCACTGCCCCAGGAAGCACCTCTAGCAGCCATCTGAGGAGTGGCCAGTGGAGGTATCCTTAGGCTGTAATGTAAACACTGCATTTTCTCTGAAAACACAGTGTTTACTGCAAAAAGCCTGAAGGGAATGATTCTACTCACCAGAACAAATTCAATAAGCTGTAGTTGTTCTGGTGACTATAGTGTCCTTTGAATATTTTTAATAACTTTGAGCATGTGTATTAAGACTGACTAAACAATTTTGTTATAAAGTTTACATTTTAAGCCAACTGTCCTGAAAAATTAGAAAAATAAATCACATGATGTGACAGTAAGCAAATAGAAGTGAAGGTAAAGATATTGCATGATGTAGTAACCTATGAATCCAGTTTATATTCCACCAATTGTTAAACAGTCTGAGAACTTCCAAAGTCTGAGTTACAAGATCTTCGGCAAGCAGGCATAAAGAGACACGACCTCAAAAATATTGTGTTACTGTATTGTTATTGTTAATAAAGTGTCATAAAGTCCAGGACTAACAAATAAGTATTTGCAACAGGACAAGTTGGAACTGAAGGTACTGAGGGCCCTGCTCAAAAGAGCTTACATTCCAAGGGGAGTGCAGTAAAGTGACACGAGAGGTAAGGTTAAGATGTATTTCATGGAAAAGTAGGTTGCTAGAAGAGTTTACTATTTGTTTTGGATGACGCAGGAAGGAAAGATGGGTTTGTAAGGTATGTGGAGGGAAAGTTTATAACAGTTTAATTGATATATCTTCCTAAAAAGTTAGTTTAAAGTAATTTTTTTAAGGACTAGAGACTGGGTGAGAGAGGAGAACAAGGACCTGAACTGAGCCCTCTATCTTATGGGAAGCCAACATAAGGACTGACAGAGGACTGACGGAGGGGGGAAACGTGGGATGACCAGAGGAGGTGGCTCACTACAGCATTTATTATAGTTCGTTATAGACTGTAGCTGGGAGAGCTGGGAATGCGTAAGACCAGCCCGAAGCAGACTGCAGTAGTCAAGGTGGGGGTAGATTGCCAAATGTAAATTCTCTGCAAAAATAACTTCACTGCGCACTGCATGCTGGCAACAGATGTAATCTGGTTCTTCACTTGCAGGCAACGCTGTGAGTGCACCTGCAAGTGAAGCCTTTGGAATGTGAATGAGTGTGTGTGCGAGTCTCATAGATGTCACTGAATGAGCCCTCCCTCCACCAGTGTCCACTTTTCATGTAAAATATTCCCTCTCCTTGTAATAATGCCAGCCCTTGCATTCTGCCTCCCAACCTCATTGAGATTCCCTTCCCTTGTCCACCACCCCATCCATTCATTTGAGCACTTGCAGCTCTCGCCACCAACACACCGAAGGCCAATCAAATGCTCTTCTATGTCCATAAATCTGAAGTCCACACATATAGAACTCACAGTATTACATTGACCAATCAAAAGCCTCTGTAACTGAAGCTTTGTCAATTTGCTTGGTTAGGACCAAGTACAGAAAGTTGAACAAATTCTTTAAATAGTTTAGAAGAATTTACCCCAAAAAAGAAAAAAAAATACTCAACAGTCCACAGTCCAAAACAAGTTGTTTCAGATGTGCATTCTAATAGAGGGTGTTTGACACCAAATACTGTTTTGTTAAAAACACAAATATTGATGTACATTCATGTTCTTGTAAATGGTAAGCAATATAACACATACTGCTATAACTATTAGACTTAAAAAACAGTGGGATTGATCAGGTTGGCTGAATCATTTTTCCCTAAAATTTAATTTTGTTTGGGATGTCTGATGCTCGCTCATGTGATGTTTCGGCTTTTGCTGAATAGCATGAAAAACATTCATGAAAAACTACATCAGAATAGCATTGGCCAAACAAAAAAAAAAAGCACCCTTGCCCCTCCCCCCTCCCCCATTGGTCACTTCTCACTTGATCTCTGAATGTAATAAACATTTAGTGATTGTTCCCAAGCCATCAATCATCTTTTCCCCCATCATTCATTTCTGTTTTAGTGTCACAGGCTGAACTGCGAATACCGAATGTTTGGCCATGGCGCTAGTCGTTTGCTTGGGTATAAGTCCATATAGTGCTTTGGGGAGACAGAATATGGCCGAACAGTCAATTGGTCCAAATTCTAATATCTATAGATTTAAAGGAGAAACTCCAGGAACCAAATGTAAAAAAAAAGGCATCTGATAGATCACCTGCAAATAATAACCTAACGATTTTCTGTATTCCAGATCCAAATCTAAATCCAAATGCCATAATGCAATATTATTTGTGTCCCACGTCGAAGGGGAAGGCTGGAGATGACCTTATGAAGAAAATGAATGGGACCATATATAAATGAAAATGCTGTTCAGTACCAACATAGGTATAAGGGACATGTCGGGGTGAAAATTAAGGAAAATATTGAAGCTCAGTATTTGCTTTGTTGAGTTTAAATCTATAGCAAGCTATCTAGGAAAAATGTTTTGAAATCTGTCATCTTAAGAAAAATGCCAACAACACACACATCAAATATTTAAGTAATGCCCATAAACAAACTGACGGGGATGCGGAGTGTGAGCTCTGTGCACAAGAACAGCTAAGTTACAAGCTGCCGAAATCTACTTTAGCTATTGTTAAAAACGAGAGTTGGTATTTAGTCCTGAGTGAATCCTTTTGACAGTCCTGCTCATAGAAGACAAAATATTTTGTCCTTTTAATTTTATACATATGATTACAAATATAATTCTGTTTTGCAGAAATTCAGTTCTAATAATCGAATTTGAATGTAAAGTCACAAGAAATCTTTGAGTAGAAGCATTGTTTTGTCCAAACTATGACATGAGTGAATCTCTGTTCTTTCTATATTTTGTGTTGGCACACTGATGCGGAGTGCCATGTCTCATGCAGCGGGAATGCCCAACCCTCACTGCTAAGAATATTGGCACCGGCACAAGACTGCCTGCTGCTTGCCAGCTCAAACAAAGCACTTTCTCAGCCTTAATCTCGCTGCTGTTGCTTCCTTTCCACGTAAAAATAAACTCCTGTAATTGTTGCTTCATCCTGGTAGAAAATGTTCTTCGTTTTTGTTGCTTGGGAAAAATATAGTCATGGAAAATAAATGTAGATGTATCAGCTCTTGTATGGGCAGCGCTTACTGTAAAGAGCACCCTATCATTTTTACATATTACAGACTCATCCAAGACTTGAGCCAGGTGCCCTAAGTTAGATTCTCCGCTTTCTTTTCAATATTTACATTTATTATATTTTGCAAGTCTCTCTTGGATTCACGCCTGCATACCACTACCTAAGGCCAGTTAATTGGAAGGGGGGTGGGTCATTTACTAAACAATGAACTGTGGTGTACTTATAACTACTTCAGAATAGGTGCCAAAAAGATTGTGGTGAGACCAAACAATATAAAAATGCAGATAGAATCATTACTGTTGAGTATCACCTGTATAACTCAACTTAACCTTTGGAAAGCCCGCCTTGGTAACTTGTGGGAATAAGCTATACGCTCTCAGAGAGACTTCAACGTCAGGATGACAACAGATGCCATGCTGATGAGCCCAAAAGGTCAAAACTGTATAGTTCATTAATGGTTTGTGGACACTTGTCTTTTTGGATCATAACTCATGCTATGACTTCAAAAAAAGCTGTGTTTAAAGCAGTGTCCATTGTTACGAGCATCTGCAGAAATGCACCATGAAGTCTGAAACACGATGCCTGTCTGTGCTCATTTGCATATCAAGCTGGGAACTCTGGGAAAGCTGCGGAAACATGTTAGGAGCTGTAGTGGGGGTTAGGGGTGTAGTAAGGAGTAAGGGGCATTAGAAGGGGTGTTAGGGGCTGTAGTGGGTGTTAGGGGCATTAGAAGGGGTGCTAGGGGCTGTAGTGGGGGGTTAGGAGTGTAGTAAGGAGTAAGGGGCTTTAGAAGAGGGTGCTAGGGGCATTATAAGGTGTTGTTAGGGGCTGTAATGGGGGTTAGGTGTGTAGTAAGGGGCTTTAGAAGGGGGTGTTATGTTATCTAGTGGATGGTAAGGGGTGTATTAGGGCATAGGGCAAAAAAATTGTGTATTCCCCGCTCCCTGAGGCTTTCCTTGGGTCAGGGACGGGGGAATCCTGTTCCCTGTTGATCCGGTGGGAGATGTGTTGCTGTGCAAACAGTTCCTTCCAGCAGCCGCTGAGTTAAGGATCTGGGCGGGGGTGGGGTCTAAACAGGGGGCGGAGCCTTCGCGAGGGGGTGGAGACTGGTGCTGCCGATGTACAAGGGCTGTAGATAGAAGTGCAGCAGTGGCAAAGCAGGGCCATCGAAAGCCCTCTCATCGTGCTGCACTTCTATCTCGGGGGGGGGGGGGGGGGGGAATTGCACCCGAGTTCAATTTACAGAGCAGGAGATAAAAACTTTTAAATTAAGTTACATCTGATTGAAAATGAAACCATTTTGCTTTCATGCAGCCTGAGTCAGTCACAGCCAGGGAGGTATGGCTAGGGCTGCATAAACAGATACAAAAGTGATTTAACTCCTAAATGGCAGAACATTGAGCAGTGAGACTGCAGGGGCATGATCTGTACACCAAAACTGCTTCATTAAGCTAAAGTTGTTTTGGTGACTCTAGTGTCCCTTTAAATGTGTGTATCTTCATCATCTATCTAGCTAGATAGAATATAATTGAACCATACTTGTAGAGACGGCCAACATTGAGAATCTTGCAATTATTCGCAAGTATTTCAGCAGTTAATCTTGTAATTATTGCATTATTGTCCTGACCTAGGAAAAAGGATACTCCAAGCACTATAACCACTATAGTTGGCATGTATGTCAACACGATGCCACCACCCTAACCCCCTCCACCCCCATCCACTTTGTTACACCATGTTATGAAGCAAGTATTAACTAAAATGGTAAGTAACTTCTGATCTATACATCTATACAGATAGTAACCATTTCTTTAATACATTTCTATAGTTTTAAAAAAAACTGTGCAAAGTCAAATTGTCCTTGTACTAAAATTGTACCTGGGTTTCTGACCTTGCATTGATAGCTTAAATCATAGTTACATGTACAGTACTATTGGACACAATCTTGCCAGCAACTGGTTGGTACATGTCCCTCATTCAGACAGGGGACTTCCATTTACCATAAGCTAATATCAGATATGCAATATGCAAATATCATTGGTTGTAATGATGAATGTTCTGTCCCTTTAAGATGGTTTTATTACATATATACTTGCTAGCAAAGACTGGGCATCTAAGTGCCTGTAATGATATAGATTTATGTTAGTATAGCATGTCTATTTGAAAAACAAGAGCTCTATGTGCTAATTATGTTCACATCCGCCTATTCTTGTGCTTTTTATTGATTTTTCAATAGAAACATAGCATAAATACAAAACAATACAAATGAGTTTAACGGTTCAGCTGCCAATGTTTTCAAAATATATCGGCTTTAGGTTCATTGACCTGTTTGAGTCTGGGAGGTGCAAAGTTTCCCTTAGACTCCAATAATGACAGGGTTTTCCTGGAAATCTATTTTACAGGAAATGCATTTTTTGATGTCTCACGGTAATGCTTTCATATTTGAACCTTGACATTCTTTTAAAGGACATCGATAGGATTATGCTCACTTACTGGGCACGCGTTCTCTTCAAAAAGTATTAAATCAATGCTAGTAAGTGCTTGCCCTGAAATAATATTGACTGCTGCCAACCCAGAGAAAATCTCAGCTTGTGAGATCATGATAGGAGATAAGATGAAAATGACCCATTAAGTTTGATCAAATGAGGTCTTCTCAGATGCTCTTGAATTCTTAAAACGTACCGGACATTTAAATCTGACATGGTAACACTGAATACCAGTGTGTATCATGTGTGATCGATATATTGTGCAGATCTGATTGTTAGTAGGGTTAAAGATTTCATTCTATTCCAGTGGCATAGAGGTTATGACTGTCAATGTTTTCACACGTTAAAATATTTCTCCCACAATTCTAACCACTGCACTCTGCCATACTCCGCATGAAGCCGCACCTAAGATTTTAGGAATGTGCGTTTGTGCCTGTGCTACATTCTATATATGGTTAGAGAATTCAGAAATATTAAGGGAAGTATAAAATTTAGATGATCGTTTTTCTGTAGATCTTGCTTGCACGATATAAAAAATAAAATTAAATACTTAAAGCGACATTTCAAGCACCCTAATCACTACAGATTATTTTAGTAGATATGCAATGAAGCAGTCAGTGAAAGGCTAATATTTCATTGTTTGCCATTCTCTATTATATTTATTAAATCCCCTGTGCCCAAATGTCACCCTCTACGCACGCATTTGGAAAACCATAGCTTCCTAATCAACTGTCCAAATACTCGTACTGCGTTAAAAGGTTACCCCAAGCAATTTGCACCATAAGTAATGTGAATGATTGCGAAGTTTATGATGCACAGAGTACCCTGCACCTACTCTGGGTCCTGAGAGAGGGTTTATAACTGCAATGATGAACTTGACCCTCCGGCTCAGACACAGCAAGGAAGAGGTTTAATTTTCTCCTTTGCTGTGACAGTTTTATTTCCCATCCTGTGCATGTATAAGCAGGAAGGCTCTCTCTCATCTCTCCGCAGAGAGCAGGGCCCTGGACGCATGCATGCACAGGAGAAGTTCAGCAGATTGCAACACACAGCCCAGTTCTCAAACTGTGACCCCAGGTGTGTGTATGTACTGATTGGAGCTGGGATTTGGCTTCATTATCTTATTCGATAAATCCCTGATAGACACGAGTTTGTGGGATAAGATCAGACTCTGAGACCAGATTGAGGGCTCCTGATTGGAGGAGCCCCTTCCTGGTGAGGGATGTGTCTACTAAGAGCTGGTTTCTGCTCACCTCAACTGTTCAAATTCAGAAGACTTGGAGATGAATATATTGTTTACATTTTAGTATTATTTATATTTGGCTTTACATAGTGATTATGATGGTAGGATTACTTAGGTGTAAATAGCTTGCCATCTTACTTGGAACCCTGCCAGATCTCTTCTGCAGCATGCTTACATCTGGCTTCTGCAGAGCTGTGAAAGGGTTTAAGACTAGAGGTGGGGTAATTGTTAAGGTACTGTATGGGGTAGGTGTTCATGTTAGTGTACTGTAAAGTGTAAGAGTTAATATTAAGGTGCTGTAAGGGATAATGGTTATTGTTATGGTACTGTAAGGGATAAGGGATATTGTTATGGTAATTTAAGGGATAAAAGTTATTGTTATGGTAATTTAAGGGATAAGGTTTATTGTTATGATACTGTAAGGGATAAGGGTTATTGTTATGGTAATTTAAGGGATACGGGTGTTATGGTACTGTAAGGGATAAGGGATAGGGGTTAGTGTTATGGTACTGTAAGGGATAAGGGTTATTGTTATGATACTGTAAGGGATAGGGGTTAGTGTTATGGTACTGTAAGGGATAAGGGTTAGTGTTATGATACTGTAAGGGATAGGGGTTATTGTTATGATACTGTAAGGGATAAGGGTTATTGTTATGATACTGTAAGGGATAGGGGTTAGTGTTATGGTACTGTAAGGGATAAGAGTTATTATGGTACTGTAAGAGATAAGGGTTAGTGTTATGATACTGTAAGGGATATGGGTTAGTGTTATGGTACTGTAAGGGATAAGGGTTATTGTTATGATACTGTAAGGGATAAGGGTTATTGTTATGATACTGTAAGGGATAGGGGTTAGTGTTATGGTACTGTAAGGGATAAGGGTTAGTGTTATGATACTGTAAGGGATAGGGGTTATTGTTATGATACTGTAAGGGATAAGGGTTATTGTTATGATACTGTAAGGGATAGGGGTTAGTGTTATGGTACTGTAAGGGATAAGAGTTATTATGGTACTGTAAGAGATAAGGGTTAGTGTTATGATACTGTAAGGGATATGGGTTAGTGTTATGATACTGTAAGGGATAGGGGTTATTGTTATGATACTGTAAGGGATATGGGTTAGTGTTATGGTACTGTAAGGGATAAGGGTTATTGTTATGATACTGTAAGGGATAGGGGTTAGTGTTATGGTACTGTAAGGGATAAGGGTTATTGTTATGGTACTGTAAGAGATAAGGGTTAGTGTTATAGTACTGTAAGGGATAGGGGTTATTGTTATGATACTGTAAGGGATAGGGGTTAGTGTTATGGTACTGTAAGGGATAAGAGTTATTATTATGGTACTGTAAGAGATAAGGGTTAGTGTTATGATACTGTAATGGATAAGGGTTATTATTATGGTACTGTAAGAGATAAGGTTTATTGTTATGGTACTGTAAGGGATAAGAGTTCATGTTATGGTAATTTAAGGAATAAGGGTTAGTGTTACGATACTGTAAGGATAAGGGTTAGTGTTATGATACTGTACGAGATAAGGGTTAGTGTTATGATACTGTAAGGGATAAGGGTTAGTGTTACGATACTGTAAGGGATAATGGTTATTGTTAGAGCCACTGTGATGTTTAATGGTAACAAGAGGTGAGCTATGTAAGGGTAAGGGTTAATGGTTACTGTTAGGGGAGTGTAAGGGCTAATGTCTCATGTTAGTATAGATCAGTATTTTGACATTTAGTGTAGGGGTTGTTGTTGTTTTTTAGTTTCTGGAGCACTAGGGCATGTCCTAAGTGCTGCCTCAGATTAGTGGGACTAATAGTTCTGTGATGAATTATATCAGCAGTTGCCAGTCATTCAACTCAGCGATGAGCTGAATTTAAATGGCAGGAGATACCACTCTAGTGTGTAACTCCCACAAATCTCAGGAATTTTCTGTCTGACAGTAGCAACCCTGAACTGTTCAGGGACGATACATTATTCCCTCAATTACGGGAAATAATTACACAGATGACATCACCATCCGTGCAGTGCTGCGTTCTAAATTAAGATCTCCCTACGGAAAAAATGGGCAGATCATGTAATCTGTATGTATTAACAAGAGACTCAAATATACACCGTATATCAAAAACGAATTTAAACTATAGTAAGCAAGAGTATCTTCTCCAGTTTAGATTTAAAGAAGAAAAAAAGATCCAAACAATATTTTTGACTTCATGGTACATCTGCGTGACACATCCCATGTGGTGTCTGAACAGGAGCTGGCTAGTTTAACTCTAACTGGCAGCTTGTTGTGGTTGCAATACGCAGAGATCTGCAGGCAGAGGTGACACTGATAAATAGGTGTTTTTAATTATGTTAAACCCATTGGAATTGGGCCATAATAATCTGCAGACCACACCCTTGCATTGCTACTTAGATCTCTTCTTCGGCAGAGGGTACGAGGGCAGGAAACATCATCAATGAGTGCGCTATCTATTACTGAAGGTGACACGCCAAAGAATCTGCAGTTATGTAATATGTCGTGTGTACAGCCTGAAAACCATGATGACGCCATACTTGCTACAAACAAACATACCATTACTTTAACCGTGCACTCACAGGGAGAGCTAAAGAAATTCTGGAAACATTTCACTTGAGTGTGAGCCTTCAGTAAAATGAAAGTGACCCTGTGGATTACAATATGCTTACTTGATATACCTGTGTATCACAGTCTAAATAACCTTTGTTTTCTTATCTATGTAAGTGCACGTACTAATGATACTTAGAGTGCAAACTCTTAAAATCACTGAAGTTTATTTTGCCACCATGTAGCTAGGTACCAAAAAGGATGGGGTGAGATAAACCACGTTAAAAGGTCCCACAGTGCAAATACAAAAATTACTGTTATGCATCACCTGTCTATCTCTATTTGAGAAGTCCTTCTTGGGCATATAATATTTAGAAAATTGGGCAGACTAGATGGGCCGAATGGTTCTTATCTGCCGTCACATTCTATGTTTCTATAATCTCCAGAAATCATGTTTCCTCAACTATTCCAGAGTTCCCAGCTTGATATGCAAATGTCACAGACATCATACTGCATTTCTGCACATAACCTTAGCAATGTGAACTGTTTTAAAACACAGCTTTTTGAAACAAAATCATGGGCTATGATCCAGTCTCGCAATCATTTAACAACTGATGTTATTTTGAAAGCTCGCACTCTAAGTCATACACCTATCATCTACTTCCCTGTCAAACATGGTATAACTACCTACCTCTTATTAGCCTAGGGAGAGTTAAATATAGACTTTCAGGTTTGTAAGACTTCAGCTCCCATCATCCTTTGACAGTCAAAGGATGGTAGGATGCAGTTAAGGGCTTAGAAACATGTACAGATAGTAGACAGATCAAGTAATATGTTAAATTGTTCAATTCATTCTTCACAACTGATTTAACAAGATTTACATTTTTGTTAGGAAATAATGCTGTTTTGGGATCATAAAAAATTGATAAGCCCAGGTTCTAGAATATTACTTGATAAAAATAAAATTGTCTTGACAAATACAATAAAATTAATGATTTTGCAGATCACAAAAAAAATGTAAATCATTGCCTAATGACTTAATAAATCACATGCAAATAATGTATAAATCATAAGCAAGTACAAAGCAGTTAGAATTTTAGATCATTAGATCTTAATATTCAGCAAAGTTTCCTTCTAAACTGTGCGATTTTGCTACTGTCACAAGTTGCCACACCCTGCAAGCAGTAAGACTTTAAGGCAGTGGTTTTAGGTCTAATTCAGAGCAACAACACAATTAAGAAGACATATCCTGTTAGTATAATGAAAATAAATTAATTCCCACCACTGGCTGGAGATCCGTGCCAGTTTGGAAGAAATAGATGAAAGCAATCACACATCTTGGAGGCTTGTCTTGTCCTCTCCCCGGTGATGAGATAGAGTTGTCCTCTCGTTGCAAATTCAAGTGGACAACTCAGACCATGTCGCGAAGGCAAGACGATGAGATGATGCTTTGCTGAGAATTTCCCGGAGGCTGAATGTAAATGCTGATACACCCTGGCTACATCCTAACCTAGCAAATGATACAGTCCTGGAAGGTACCCAAATTATTCAAGGCCGTCCATAAATACATTGCCTCTGATTGATCCCTTTGCTCACAGCAAAAAGAGTCACATCACTGTGGATGATACATCAGTGCGAGAATGTTAAAAACAGATATCAGAACGAAAGTCAGTTTGTGAAAGTGATCTACATTAAGGACTTTATTTTTTTATTTTTTTGCAGACAGACGCAGAGAGCTTTTGAGTAACGACTGTGGGAATATTGATTGTTAGCAAAATACTGAAACGGCACTATAGAGAAGTAAAGTGGACACATAAACTCTGATATCAGCTTGCAGTATGGGTTAAAAATATAGTCAGACTGCAGAATGGTAGCGTGTGCAGATAATGCCATTGCGGATGAAGAAATACATTTCATTTTTTAATTTTTTTTTATTCTCAATGACCTATACAGATATTTGCAAAACAAGGTCGAGTTCAGAATTATGCCCACACATTGTACACAGAGATGGGTAACGTCACAAGAAAAAATATACATGTAATAGAGGGACAAAATATAGTTAAAACGGCTAAGATTTGTCAAATTTCTACTGGACTACAGTCTATATGAGGTTAACCATTTGGTCTATAGTGCACCTACCAATGGTGTAATGTTGGCCTAACTAACTCATCCTGAATTAAGGGCTGCACACACATAGGGGAGGATGTATCGAGGCACCAAATGTCCTGTACCGGAGAAAAACTGCTAACTGTTCAGAAAAGAACATTTATTGACAATCACAGACCATTTAAGAATATAAAGGGATTAATAATCATTAAAAGGACACACCAGACCCCTAAAGGCTTTGTGTGTGAAGTCTGTGTCCTCTCTTTTTCATTTACAAAATGTGCAGATTTCAATAGACATTGGCCCTTTTATAGTGGAACTAAACTTAAGAGGCAGCAATTGCCCAGAGCACCTGCCTTGCAAAAACTTCTCATTGAACTGCATTAGGAAGTCTGTGATTAGACAGCCACAGAATGTCTTGGTGGAGTTAGAAGAGGAGGGCTTGCAAAGGCTGCAGACAAGAAATCTGTTGTTTTTACGAGCTGTTTTAAGATATATCCCCAATGAAAACATGCATAATTAAATTGCTGCATGTTTTGGGGGGGTTATATCTGCTAAACAGTGAATTTAACACATCCCAAGGCTCTAAAATCCACAACCCACAAGATATTAATGATACTATGGCAGACTATTACCACTCATTATACAACCTCAAAGAAGACCCCACATTACATCAACCCACATCCCAGGATATTCAAAATTTACTTGGACAGTTCTCGCTGCCAACACTGACGGAACACCAGAAAACTATCCTACAACACCCAGTCACACAAGAAGAAATACAACAAGCTATACACTCACTCCCCCATGGCAAATCACCGGGACCCGACGGACTCACAAACTCCTACTACAAGACAATGACCACAATCCTGACCCCATATCTGGACAAAACCTTTAACCATATCCTCACGACGGGCCAAGTGCCCCAAGACATGCTCATGGCACATGTGGCTACATTGCCAAAACCAGGCAAACCACCTAACAAATGCCAAAATCTAAGACCAATCTCCCTCCTTAACACGGTCATCAAATTACTGGCAAAAATTTTCTCTAACAGATTAAAGAACATTATCCCGACCCTGGTACATGAGGACCAGGTGGGATTTGTTAGTGGCAGGCAAGGAGCGGACGGAACCCGAAAGATCTTGGACCTACTACAGGGAGGAAGCGGAGGGGGGCCCAGTGCGTTATGCTGTCACTTGACGCTGAAAAAGCCTTCGACAGATTGCATTGGCCCTTCCTCCAAGCTGTTCTGATCAAATATGGCTTCCCAGACACTTTCCTACGGTTAGTAAGGGCATTATACTCTAAACCGACAGCGAAAGTCACCAATGGGGGCTTTAGCTCTAAACAATTCCACATAACCAACGGGTCAAGACAGGGCTGCCCACTATCGCCTCTCCTTTACATTCTCTCGCTAGAACCTCTCACGCAACTCATTAGGGACAACCCAAACATACACGGCATTATGAGACAAGGCAATGAACATAAACTCACACTTTTCGCAGACGACATCCTCTTAACACTCGAGCAACCACACATATCCCTACCTAACTTCCACGATACGCTCACCCAATATAGCAAGTGCTCCTATTATAAACTTAATATAAATAAAACTCAAGCAATGGGCATAAATATCCCGATGGAGGTCTTGGATAGGCTGCGTATCTCTTTTAAATACGACTGGCGAAACGACCATCTAAAATTCCTAGGAATCAATCTCACCTCAAATCTAGCAAACCTTTTTAAAATAAACTATCAAAAAACACTGACTGAAATAAAAAACCTACTACTAGGATGGAAGAGTAAATTCGTATCTTGGTCAGGGAGAATTGCCGCAATTAAAATGATCATTGTACCTAAATTGCAATACTTGTTTAGAACGTTACCCATAAAGATACCCCCCACATTCATACGAGATGCTCAACAAACACTACTAACCTTTATATGGGACAGACAAAAAGCACGGGTAGCGAAAAGCACGCTATACATTCCACGCAAAAATGGGGGAATGGGAGTGCCCAACCTAGACAGCTACTACAGAGCAGCCATTCTGGGCCCCCTACTAGCGGCTTGCCATCGAGACCACCCAACCCAATGGATGGAACTGGAGGCGCAGCATGCTAATAACATTCCCATCAATGTACTGGCATGGCTTCCCCAGCACAGCAGGCCTACTAAGGCAAAATTGCTCCCAACCACAGCCCTCACTCTGACCATATGGGACAGGTACTGCCGCACATTGGGCTGGCTGGGCAAAATATCGCCTGCCATGCCCATACAAACACTACACTATATAATACCTAATTTTAACTACACCGTATGGCATCAGCACGGAGTAACACACTTACACCAGCTGCTCCAGGAAAACAAGCTCAGAAATCTCGTAGACCTAACAGCATGTTATAATTTGACTCCGAGGGCAGCTTTCCCCTACATGCAGTTGCAATCATGGCTCCGCAAGCAAACTATAACAGGACCTGACAATGTACAGGGGCTACAGCTGACGGTGGTAGAGAAAATATGCTCACGTCTCGCAATCCCCAAAAAACTCATCTCTGAACTATACCAGACTATGCATCCCCCAAAGGACCACAAAAACCTCTCCTTCATAGCTGCATGGGAGAGGGAACTTACATATGCTCTTGGTGAAAAACAATGGAATGAGATTCTCCTGGCACACAATTCACTCTCCAAATGTGCCTCCCACATGGAACTATCCCGGAAAATTTTATACCGGTGGTACCTAGTACCTACATGCCTAAAGGCCACCTATCCACAGGCCTCCGATACCTGTTGGAGATGTCGACAACACAAGGGCACAATGCTCCACATTTGGTGGGAATGCCCCTCCTTAACACCCTACTGGAATACCATAACCACCATTATCCAAGACAGCACAAAAACACTGCTACCCCGCAAACCAGAAATATACCTCCTCCACCTCTTTCCAAAGGGGCTGCGGAGCAGGCAAAAATACTTAATCTATCACATACTTATAGCCGCGCTCACGGTCATTAGCAGACATTGGAAATCTAATATCCCACCCAAAATATCAGAATGCATACAAACGATAGAAACAACTAAGCTCTACGAGCTGGCAGCTAGACGCTCAAACCACTCCAAAAAAGTTTGGTCACAAGCCTGGGAAACCTGGCAACTGTACATGGAGCGTACTAATAATATAACCCCCCAATTGAGATGACTGTAGCAGGGATCTACAAACCGACAGCTGTGCCCCTTCGACAACGAAACTGTAGCAAAGGGCGTAAATGTAAAGGTCAATGCAACTGTAAATGAAAATGTAAATAATTCTGGAGACTGCAAACACAACGATAATGCCGCAACTCAAATAAAACACATGTAGGACAGATAGTCCTGCAGAAACGACCACACACAGCCGACTACCTAGGAGAGCCCTACCCTCTCCCCCCCTCCTTTCTCCTCCCCCCTTCATCCCCCCCCTCCCTTCCGTCCCCACTCTGATCCTCTTCCACGGTTCACCCCCCACCCCAGTGGTATATGAAATACCAAAGCTCTACACCCAGCATCAATCACAAACCCAGTCGATTACCACCCTGGAAGGGACCGATGTGAGCCCCCCCCCCCTCAGGGCATGGGGTGGACAATAATCAGCAGACCCAATCAGGGCATCACGATATAACACAATGATCGTATGAAAAGCAAACTGTGTATGATAAATGTGTACACTGTCCTAAGGTCAATGTGTATGAGATACTTTACGTTACCACTGCTCCCCCCCCCCCTATTCTCTTCTGTACCCCTATAAAACTTCAATAAAAATTGTCAAAGATAAAAAAAAAAAAAAAAACTGTGAATTTAATTTATTTTTCTAGTCGGACAGTGGAGTGTCCCTTTAACCCAGCACTGCAAGGGTTATTGATGCTTACCCCTCTACAGAGATTATAAATGTAACAGACATTAGCCTTAACATGAAAGATAAAACATGTATAAGTCTGTCCAAATGTCTGTTTATATTCACACTGTGTAGGGAGGAGGGCTACATTTAAAGTGCTCTGTGCACAGCCTCAGTCCTTCTCAGGGAGGGTGTGTCTGTGACTTGTAGCAAAGTTCTCAGCAGGTGGTCATAGGTAGACCCCCAAAGAAAAAAATGCATAAACAAATGCATGTGTATATATGTGGCAAACCTAGCCACTTGTAGGATGCTGGACTATATGTATAAAAAGGTTGTCTGTAATAACCGCTGTACTATATGTGTAACCTTGGTGGATAATGA